CCCCCCCCCCCTCCCCCTTTGTGGCCGCGCGACTGCAACCTGAAGTTGTGTATAGTAGTTCGTACGCACGACAAGTTGGCGCCAATGTCAAAACTCTTTTGTTCCGTTTGTCGTATTTTCAACCCTTGTCGGTTTCTTTTTTTCCCCCTGTTTTGACGGTGGTTCAGGCAACAACAACCTGTTCAAGGGTGCTCTGGCCGGCATCATTGGCAGAGGAAAGCGGCCTTCCCCGTGAAGCTGCCAAACCGACAGAGAGGACCAAGGGTGGGCGGGCAGGAACGGGTGCATTTTTTCCCCCATCGGCGGAGAACGTGCGGTTGGCTGTTGTCACACACCAGCAAACACTTGTCGTTTGAAGCGAGCGAAACCTCTAAGCGGTTGTTTTGCGTTGGCGGCATCGGGCTTTGCTCGCGTTTCCCCCTTGCCCGTACGCCAATGGTTCCCGGGTGCACTTGAGCGGTAGTAGTAGAGAAGCCCGGCGTACTTGTGCGCTATATGCGCCAGCATTAATCGTCCACGTAGAGTATGTTTCTCGTCTCGACTCAGTCGTGCGATTGAGAAAATAAAAGTAGCCGTGCTGTGTGAAGTATTCCGGGATTTTGTTTTGTACTTGTTTGCTAGTGCGTTCTCAGCGTGGGTTTAGTGCCGGGAGGAGGAACACGTTTGTTTGTGCACACTGGTGTGTGTGCAGACGGCAGCTTGCCTAGCCGTGGCTGCTGCTTCTTGTAGTGGCTCTTCGCTGTTTCATGTACTGTGGGTCCGGTGAGAGCGCTGCATTCTAGTGGCAGGGGCACCAAGTAGACGCACGCCAACTGGTCGCCCAACCACCGATATGGTTCTGGTCAGGACGACAGACTTGTTCGGCCAGTCATGAAGCAGAACGAAGAGAACTCATGGTTTGGTCCCGCTCAGCTTCATGCATGCATTGTGGTGTGCCGTGCCATCATCTCCTTTTTGTACACGTGTTGCGTGTCGGTGTCGTCGTGTTGGTCGTGCTTGTCCATGTACATCCCTATTGTTGCTCCCCGCATCGTTTTGTGGCGTAAATTAAACGTGTAGCATTGTTGTCGTTGTTGTTGATATTGTCGTTGTCATGGTCGTGGCACTGATTAGGATAGGAGGAGGTACACCTTGTTGGGGTCCTGTTATAGGCGTCAGTTTGTTCCTGATGATGCCTCGGGTTGTTTTCTCGTGTATGATGCCTCCTGCCGTGCTCTTAAGTTACGCATCGGAACGATTTAGTGTGGTGTTCATTTGACAGGTGATTTTTATCTGTTCGTTGCGTTTTGATGGAAGTCAGTTAGCTTGGCGTTGGTCCCGCCCGTTCAATGGCAAGCCAGTGGGAAGAGAGGGCTGACAAATATGAGTGACTTCTCCAGCGTTCTTCCACTGGTATTTTTTTGGTAATCGAGTTGGTACTGTATCTCGTGGCTACGCTCCGTCCGAACATCGAGCATGGGCGGACCGGATCCATCCACTAGGTTTCGACTGCCGCGGAGACAGCCACTAAGTCACGCCCTTCCTGACGTGTCCCCCACACGGGAATTTCCCGTGAGAAATTTCCATGGACTGGACGCGTTCGGGCCGCAAGTTGGCTTACAAGGACGAACCTTGGGTCGATCAAACATAAGCAGACGTTTTCCTTTACGACTTCGTTCGCGCCCCCCGCTAGGGCACTCGTCCGTACATGCCACAGTTTTGCATCAGGATCACTACGCCGATCTCCTCTCCGGGGCCAAAAACCAAGCCGGTGCTCCATGCCCGCTAGTTCACTCGGTTTTATTGCCCTTTTTCTTTCTCTTGGCGGAATTGCCGCCGCCAGAGCCGATTGATTCGATGACAGGCATCCTGGCTTTTAGAATCGTACCACTCTCTTTGCGAGCGGCTCTCTTCCCGCCGCCGCCCCCACCGTCGGAGTCCCTGGACCTAGAGAAACGCAACGCCGTCACCTCTGCCGCCGCGAGGACTTCCAGGGACGATGTGTTGATGGGCGGGGATAAGCCTGTCTCCGGTGTTGGTCCTTGAGGACGATACGTCACCCCGCATACCAGGAGAGACTTTGCGACATCCTTTGCGCCGAGAGTAACAGTACAGACGCGGCGGCGAGAGCACACACACGCGTGCAGTCAGAGTTTGGCGAAACGATCGAGCGGCGCCACGGTTTCGTTTGAAGCTTCTCCTTCGGTACCGTTTTTTTGTGTCTTCGCAAAGAGGCACGAAGGCTAGGGGAGACCCCGCCGTCTGATTTCTGGACCAAACGCCATTTAGCAACACCAATTTAGAAACGTGCTCCTCCCGTAATTTTCCTACTGTTTCGTTCTCCAAGACGCGCATTTGCAGAAAAAAATACTCTAGAGATGCAGAGCAGCGAACGACAACTCAAGAGAATCTCACCGGCATGAGTCGTGTCATCGCCTTGACGTGGCTCCACGAGTCGCCGCCTCCACCACCCCCCGTGACGTGCACGCAGTAGCGCGAATGACACTCGTCCGGCGGCCCCTCGTACAGCACGTAGTGGGCCCCGTACTTGTGGCCCGTGTCCACCGTGAAACTGTTTCGCGTAGCGGAGGTCGGGGGCCCCGTTTATCGAAATCGTCAAGGTATGCACTATCATAGATGTAGAGATGTAGAAATCGCAAAGTTTTCGTCGTCAGTGTCCAGGAGGACGTCACAAGTTACTGCGCATGCATGTACTTGTCGTGTCTCGACCTGCTGGTCGGTGAACCTAGCGCAGCAGACCAGACAGAGGAAAGGAAGGCCGGATAGCCCGCGAAAACGTGCCATCACGCGGGGTCCAAGCATTTGCGCGCGTGGCGTCCCTTTGCTGTTCGCTCTAGTCAAACATGGCACAACGAGTCCTGCTGCGGGTGTGCCAGTACAACTCGAGCCGTCTCCGTTCCGCCTACAGCCTCCCACAGAGATGTGTCTTGGAGGAAAACAACGAGAGACGTCCGGGCGTCCCGCTACGGCGCGGTGCGTACCTACCTCCGTATCCGAAAGTGGCGGTACACCGCAAACATTGCCGGAAAATCCGGGCGCCGGTTGCAGCAGTAACGCCATGCCTCCTCCGTGCTCAACAGCGTGACGCCGCCGCCGCCGCCGCCACCTCTGTCGCTGCCCTCTTTGCCACCGCCGAAACCGCAGCCGAACGCCTCTTCTCCGCTCAGGGAACCCCCGGCGGCATCTTCTGCTTCCTCCGTGGTTTGTTGCCGGCGGTGCCGATCATGGAGGAGGCCAGGGGGCTCTTCGAACCCGCGTCTTCCTCGCGGCGGCGGCGGCGGCGGCAAGGCGATCGGGGCTGTGGGAACGACAAGGTTGACCCTCGGGACAGAAAGCACCAGGGACTCGTCGACGTGCGCAAGGTAAAACGCCTGTGGTTACGGCGGGGGGGGGCAGGGGATGGATGATGGTGAGGCAACCCTCTCCCGTGTCTGAAGCTCCAAATCATCGTGACTTCGTGTGAAGGCTACTGCTGGCTGTGGGGGGACGTACTTCACCTTGAGTCGGGAGTGCAACAAAAAAGCACCGCCGGTACGAACCTCGGTATCGGTGAGATCGAAGCATCAGGACTACTGCTTGTAGAGCATACCTCTTCCAGAGACAGCTGCAAACACCGTAGCCCCGAATCGATCGTCGCGGCCGGCTCCTGTTGTTGCTGCTGCTGCTGCTGCTGCGACGACGAGATCGAAGGTAACTCTCGTGGAGAACAAGCCTGCTTTGAACAAGAGGGGTGGGACATGATTGCCATTGAACCGCGTTCGCTCTTCGCTATCGCTATGTGTACACTACGGGCGGCGGACCGTTCTTTGGAAAGTTCTTGGGGGCGGCGTCGCGACATGTGCGGTGTAACCAAAGTCCTGCCGGTTTATCTGTGATTCCCCACTGGTCCATTGTACCTCACATTCACAGCGCTAAGGCCAATTGTTATGGTAAATTCCAATTTGGAAATTTGCGAGCTTGGAAAAAGCGG